TCTCTCTCTCTCTCTCTCTCTCTCTCTCTCTCTGTCTGTGTCTCTCTCTCTCTCTCTCTGTCTGTCTCTCTGTGTCTCTCTCTGTCTGTCTCTCTCTCTCTGTCTGTCTGTCTCTGTATTATTAGCTGTATATCCTCTTTAATTGTTTGTTGAATCTTTTTCCTTCTATAGTATCAAAAACCCTGAAACTGATATTTCCTCTGACAGTAACCGTGGCACCAGAGTTTCAGACCGTTCTGTTCTTACAAACGATAATGATAAATCAAGAGTCTTTGATTTCTTACCCTCCGTCTTTATAATCAATAAGCTTTTATTTGCTGCTTTACTTTTAATGACTTGTGATAATTCTTGAACTTTCTAGTTTTTGATGCATTAAAACTTAAATAATTCATTGATACCAACAGACTCTCTGATGCTGATCTGATGAAGGCCTGCGGAGGACGCACGGCTCACAAGTACGTTCACTAAAGTACACAGAAGTCAAAGGATTCTTCAGAAAAATACAAATCACAAAACAGAAGGATGAAATATTTCAGCGTGATCTGAATCTGCTTCTGCTTGTTCTCTTTAGAGGAGCCAGACACGGACTGACCATGAGTGCCAAGTTAGCCAGGCTGGAGCAGCAGGAGGCTGAGTTCATGGCCAAGTACGGCAAGAAGGGCCAACCACCTAGTGCCTCTGCGGTTTGTGGTAAACCAGCTCCGCTGACCTCCAAGTCCGCTGATGAACGAGTGGAGAGGCCGGAGGAGACGGCCGAGGATACCCAGAGCAGGAAGATGAAGAAAAAGACCAAGAGCTCCACTCTGAGCGTTATCGAGGTAAATGGAAGCGAGGTGTCAGAAAGTCCTGAAGCTGACGTTAAACCCAAAAAGAAGAAGAAGAAGAAGAAAAGGAAAGCCGATGATGACGCTGAAGAAATAACTGAGGCAGTTTCCACGGAGGATGTGATCTGTGTGGAACATTCTGACAAAACGAAGAGCAAGCAAAAGAAGAAAAAGAAGAAAGTGGAGCAGAATGAAGAAGAAAGAACGACTTCCCCTGCTGCAGAGAGCGAGAGCGTGGAGGAGACGGCTGAGCTGCACTCTAAAGTGAAGAAGAAGAAGAAGAAGAAGTCATCTTCCAAACATCCCAGTGAAGCAGAGGAGAGTAACGATGCAGAATCCAGCCAATCAGAGCCGGTCCAGGGCGGTGCTCCCAAAACCAAAAAGAGAAAAGTTTTAACGGAGGAAGCAGAAGTTCCAGAGGAAGAATCAACGGTAAAACGGAAAAGGACAAAATGTAAAAAGGACAAACAACCTGTTGATGAAGAGACACTTCCTGCAAAGAAGAAGAAGAAGAAGAAGTGCAGAGAGTAGAAACAGTTGACAAACAGGACAAATGATCATTTCTGTAAATCAGCTGTAAACGTGACACGGACGCTCCAATCTAACATGAGTGTAAATGAATGTTTCGCTTTTAATCAGCGAGCAACAGCTAGAGATGTTCTGATACCTGGACTCTGATCTCGACTCATACGATTCCTTCAGATAGACAAAGTGCACTTAAAGCTCACTACAGCTATGAGCAGGAGTCACTTCTGATTTTTCAGGTAAAAGAAAATTACAGTTTTATTACACGTGCTCTGCGTTGCCTGCGAAGTTTACCGCACCATTGAAGTACTCTAGTGAATCTCCAGTAATGAGATTACCTCCATCTGTTGAGCCTCTTGTGCCGACTGAAAAGGTTTTGTAGTTAAAAGAGGTTGTTGGAAAAACTTTGATTGTTTATTGCAGATTTAAAAGGCTTTTTAAGGATTATTGGTTATAAACAACGTCACATGAATTAATGTGGTTTAATGCTGTAACTCATTGCTTTGACGGGTCGCTGCTCTCAGCTCATCCTCACTCTGACACTTGAAACACACAGATGTTAACAGATCATCAATATCTTCATATTGTGTGTCAGTGTCGTTTGTGCACAGCGTACGAGCTCCTCTCGGAAGGATAAACGATATTACAAGGTCTGAATTTCATATGCAAATGAATCATGTGTCACGTCAAACTACGCCTGTGTGATTCTTTCACGTTGACAGATTTCATATTTCATATATAGCCGGTGATCTGTGTGTGCAGAAAAGTGCTCGGCTCAATAACCAAAATACAGAACGACAGGAGTAACACTTAGAAATCATATTTATACAGGAGAAGTATTCTCAGTACAACAGTATCAGTATATGAAAGCGACCATGACAGGTCAGAATCCTGCAACTGCTCAGATTGCGACAGGTCAGGAAGGACACAAGGTCGTTTGCGTCAACACGAGTGAAAAAACATCATTGCATGTTCCTGTGGTTCAACTCCGTAACACTTCCTCTGTGAAATGAAGCGTGATGGTTGTGGAGACACTGAATGTGACAATACTGTTGATGATGATTCGACTGAGAGAACAGACACCTCGTTAATTAATGCAATGAGGAAGATTAGGAAAGAACAATTTCACAATATGACATTCGGTGATTAAAAAAAAAACAACTGAGCAGAAAAAAGGGGGGATTTAAATATTAAAGTCAGCCAGCGGACTAATGGAGTTTCACCTCAACACATTTGTTCTGTAACATCACAAACTTTTGCAGATTGCAAAACACAAATTTCCAAAGTTACACGCGTGCACGACATGCAACACGTCGGCCACAGGAAAATAAGGTTTGTTACAAAACAGTTTTTTTTTTTGCATAGATCCTAAATCAGTGATTCTACATCGAGCAACATTGATGTTTGGCTGCAATGTCAAAAATATTCCCTGGAAAAGTAATTGATGTTTAATTGACTTCTTTAATTGATTCTTCAACCTTCATAGCAACAGATCTGAAACGTTCCGCTGTGGTTTCTTGACACTTTAAAAACACAGGATTGATCGCACACAGTAAAAACTCTAGATTATAATTACATGAAATGAACACATGACAAAATGTATTCGTTATTGTTTTATATTTATATGTACATTTTCCAAACGCTGGTGCTACAACACAGTATTTCAGCTGACTGAGGTCCGTATCAGGGACTCGTGCTCACAGATGAATTTGTTCCACATGGCACATTTTGCTGGGGCCCAGCTCGCTGTAGCTTCATGCCCAGGGATCGTCAGCGCACATAAACCGTGACTCTCACCCGTCCTCATCCAGAACCTCCAAACACAGAACACACTCATCAGTACCTTCAACAACATCACTTCTACAGATCACACCAGCGAACTCCAGTGGCCCTCCAGATGCTCAGTGAGTGAATTCAAACGTTCGCTAGGTTTTCTTACCCCTCAGTCTCATTGCGTCCATTAATCCAGACCCAGTGGTCGTCAGCATTTTGACGTAATCCGAGCCAGTATCCATGATTTTTGTCGTAGTAGAACTTCGTGTGGTTCGTGATGAATTCCTGAAAGTCACACCACGATCAGCCCAAACCTTCACACTTCATCGACAGTGAGCAAACATTAAATATCTGATTTGACATCATCGTTTTTTCCAAATCAGCACAATTTGCTCTGTAACTTAAAACTCTCGTGTCATCGTGGAATGATGACGAGAGACCTCACCTGCTCTCGTAAACTGTCGACGACAGCCAGATCCGAAGCCATGTCTTGACAATAAGTCTGCGCCTCGTCCCACGTCTTCCAGCGTGGTGGTTCGTCATAGAACAGATAACAGTGATCCTGGAACGGGATCCAACTCTCCTGGCACGGCTCACACTCTGCACTCACAGAGATCAGCAGAGAAACGTTAGGTGAAGCACTAAAGGTCTGTTTAAAACCCACACAGGCTTCTTCTACAACCCCAGAGACCAAAGAACAGTAAAATGTATAGTAAATATCCTAATAATGAAATATTAGCACTTTAAGTTTTACACATTTCAATCACTGCCATGATTGAAAACAATGGTTGAAGAGGTTTGGCAACGGCTACTGACATCTACGCTTAATTCTATGAGCATGGCAGATTTTAGCTATTACCTTAAACAAACAAATATATATATATATATATGTGTGTGTGTACTCCTCGTGTATATTTGTGAGTTGAGAGTTAGACTCACTGTGTAGTTGTACATATAGATATACTACATAAAGCACTGAGTGGTTGTTAAGAGCGATAAAAATAAATGCATTGATATACTCACTTTTATTTGGGCAGAATTTATTTACTGGGAATTCTGGGAAACTCATGATGACTCCGAGCGTCCTGTTGAGATCCTCTGTGACACTGGTCAGCTCCTCCGTCTTATTCTCTAACGTCTCCTTCTCCATCACCAGCTGCTGGTTTTCTCTGAGGGCCTCTCCTGCAGCAGCTCTCTGCTCCTCCATGGCTCCGCAGACTGCAGCGATGGCGGGGGAGAGACACATTCTCTGCGGTTAATCCGCACGATTCACTCCTGAAGCTTTTTTCAAAATCATCTCCTCCCCAACACTGATTTCAATGCTTTTGTCACGTGACGGTCTCACCAATTTAAAAACATCATTTAAAACTGTTTCAAAGTCAAACTCACTGTAGATGATGGCGCCGATGCAAATCATGAGCAGGACCAAAGAAATCCCCAAACACGCCAGCAGGAGAAAAGTCTGAGAGCATGCTCCTTTTCCAGCTGCTCCTTTTCCAGCTGCTGCTTTTCTAGCTGCTCCTTTTCCAGCTGCTCCTTTTCCAGCTGATCCTTCAGCTCCTACTCCTCCAGCTTCTCCTCCAGCTTCTCCTCCAGCTGCTCCTCCAGCTTCTCCTTCAGCTCCTACTCCTCCAGCTGCTCCTCCAGCTTCTCCTCCAGCTGCTCCTCCAGCTTCTCCTCCAGCTGCTCCTCCTCCAGCTGCTTTTATTGACGGTAGTGAAACTGTTATTATTTATTATCAACATTATGGTTGCATGGATTTTCTATTTGAATTCACTGAATATTGAGTATTTTCTGGGATTCGACTGAACGTCTGTGTTTATTCTGACACACCCTGTGACTGATGGGATTCTTTCTGTTCGTCTCAAATCAAATTAATGCTTTTATATTTAAATTAATGCTTTTTAATGTTTTTAGCAGCTGCGGTAAAATGTGTTTGATGGTTCACTTTGAATGTGGAGAACGTTTCCTCTTCCGTTCTCACTGATCTCCCCGTTCACCTGCTCCGGTGTTGAAGGTGACACAGCGAGCGTTGTGTGAAAATGTTCCAGGAAGTTCAGGAGCAACTTAAGCATCATTTAGTTTAAACATTTAGAAAAACATCCACATCATTTGCACTTTTCTCTCTTAACTTACTTACAACAGTCGTCGCCGGAACTTTGCGTTTGATTGAAGTATAAATTGAAGATTCCTCGTTTTCTGGTTGATTGAAAAGAAGAAAAGAAACAATCAGAAACTCCTGAGTGACACAATTGTTCATGTAGGAAGCAGATGAGCGGCACTTCTGCAAACTGTGCACAAAGAAGAATAGATTCTGTTTTGTCAGAGAGCAGGAAATGCAACCGATGTATGGAGAACTAAATATAAAGTGTGAAATCGAGGCAGCAGCGGTTCAAAAGAACCATCAGAACAGTACAGAGGTTCCAGTAACACCAGGAATTCAGACTCTTCCCAAACATGTCCAGGAAACAGTGTTTTTTCCAAATGGTTTAGAAATTTAAAGTCTATGTTCTGGAAATTAAAGCCTGAAAAACTGTGTTAACATCAGTCAATTCAAGGTTTAACACACAAAAGCTAAAATATTTCACGCTCCATCAACCTGTTTTATCTCTCACCTCTCGGAACAGGACCACTGTTTTTGAAAACCACAGTGGCGTAATGGAGTTCTTCTGTCATCCTTAAACGTGGTTCATCGTATTTCCAGAACGAGAGCAGGTTTTGAACATCAACTGTTGCTGATGCTTGAAAGGTGTGACTAAACAAAAACCCCTCGGCACAGCCTCACGGAGAACAAATGAACTTCCTCTTTCCTCCGCACCTGTCAAACTGCTGCAGCTTCTACTTTGCATTTATTACGGTTTTACTGGACGATGTCAAACAGTGACGCTGGAGCTGCAGTCTGTTGTTTGTTGTGTCGTTTGTTTTGTGGTCCCTGGTTACACGTTTACATTTTGGGGCATTGAGCAGATGCTGTTGACCAAAGAGAGAAACCACAACACATCACCGTGGATGGTAAAACGAATCATAGAAACAAGTTAGTTCGTGTTTTCTCATGTCTGTTTATGGGGAAATGACTCACATTCACATTTATTCTATTACTCAGCTGATTATTAAAACAAGTCAGTTCTTCTTCAGAGTTCAAGTAACAACTGGTTAAATTTGAAGTTTGACCAGAGATGTTTTTTTCACTTTTGCATTTCGGGAATAAAGTTGGATTATTTAAAGTTCCAGTGTGAGAGATTGAGGTGAGAGGGAACGAGTTAATGAAATTTAATGTGGATTAATCCTCAAGAGGTTTTCACTTCATTTCCTCTAAATTGTATGAATTGTAGTTTTCTTTACCCCAGAAAATACCCTTTATATTGAAATACTTTAATTTGAAATACTTTATATTGAAATATTATATATGTACATGGAGCTGCAACATGAAACTTCAACAATAGATATCACTAAACTCTTCACACTGAACCTTTAAGTCATATATAGGAAAATAAAAAATGATCAAAAAGAACTGCAGACGAGCGCTGTGCATTCAACATAAACCTTTATTTATACTGAACGTGTCACATGTCCAGTGAACTTCCATAGTTACAGTTTGAGCTCCACACACAGGCCTTTGTGGAATTAGAGAGAGAGAGCAGAGGGATTCACAGAATTAAGAGATTTTCTTCCTCATCTTTTTCTCCTCTCGTGTAAACACAACACCGGTTGAAAACACAAGTCAAGTGACAAAAGTCAGGTTTCTTTTTTGAAAACATTCGATGAAGAGCTGCTTCCTAATCCGGTTTGTTCAAGGCTCTTGTTTCACAGATCCAGCGGTTCCACATGTAGCAGCTCGACCTCTTCCAGTTGGCTTGAGGATCGGCCCGAGGTAAACTGAGAGCACAGGACACCTTGTAGCCCGGCTCGGCTGTCCAGTACCTGGAGGACAAAACAGAAATCAGGGGTTCAGTCTCTGCTCTTTCATTTCCTCATTTCCTCATTTCCTCCCAGCATTCAGAGGAAATATTACGCACACGAGCGCTGCCGTCCTGCACATCTGGAGTCTGTGCGGTCGGGGGAGGGGGGTGGAGCCGCGGTATCGACCAATGGTGAGTCAGTCTCAGCTGTTTTAATGATGGTTCATAATAGTTTTAAAGCATCCAAATGACTAATTTAGCTGAGAGACGAACACATGAACAGATCAGCGACAGAAGACACGTTAGATTTTATTTAAAGGTCCAGTGCGTAAGATTCCACGTTTCCACGGGTTCTCTCTCGTGTTGAGTCTTTCAGCTGCAACATGCGACTTCACCACTAGATGTCACTAAATTCCACACACTGAACCTTTAACATGACTTTTGAGTTTGGTTCAAGTCGCACATTACACTGAGTCCTCTTATTTAACTGTAGCCGTCTGAGGTCAGTGGTGAGGATTCCCTCGGTCACACGTACACGGTTTGTTTCAGTGGTGAACCTTTAACTTCGACCTGCTGACACAACCACAAACTCTAGTTTTACACTTTGGTCCGTGACTCATTTGTTTCAGTGTTCGGAGGCTTGTGTTCAAAATTAGTCCTGCCACGATTCCCCGTGAAAACACAATTAGTTCTTTTTATGAATCAGTTTTTTCCCAGATTGAACAAACAATCACGCAACATGAGGCTTCAGAGGTCACGTGATTCGTCCGTTTGATTGACGGACGCTGAGATCATCTGTTTGCAAAGTGTCTGGTCTGCGGTCGTGAGTCCTTCACATTTAAACGACGTGTGGATAAAAACTTTGTGTGTTTTTACTTCAGAGTGACGTTGCTTCCGTCGACCCACATCCACGTGCCCGCGTCGTTCATTTTGCTCAACCCAATCCAGTAGCCGTGCTTTTCATCGTCATAGGCCTTCGTGTGGTTGTTGATGAACTCCTGCATTTGTGAGACAGGTTCGAGAGACGTTGTGTGTCACGCGTCCACAACGACACAACAATAATGTCAGAGACAGATCAAATACAATGTAAGAAACAGGAACATTAGAAAGATGTCAGGGTGAGAGACAATTCAAATGGAAGGAGCTTTGGAGGTTTGATGGGTTTTGGATTTCAGATTTGTTCCTTTTCTTAATTTAGATTTGTACAGTAGAGCACAATGTAAAACATTTTATTTACACAATTATAAAGTATATGGTATCATATCATATCATATCATATCATATCTTGTCTCATCGTACTTGTACTGAAGTAAACAATCTGAGCACCTCCTCCAAACCCGATCCACGAGGACAGAGGAGCGTGGGAGTGAAAATGAGACTCGCCTGTTCCCTCGAGCTTTCGATCACCACCAGATCTGCCTCCACGTCTCTGCACTGATCACGACTATCCTGCCACGACTCCCAATTTATGGATCGGTTAGATTCATAAAACCAGTAACAGCTGGACTGAAAAGGTATCCAGCCGTCCAGACAGGTTCTACACACTGTGAGACAAGAGTGAAGCAACACAGTTAAAATCATTATATATAACATCATATATATCTATATATATCTATATATATATAGATATATATATATATCTATATATATATAGATATATATATACATATCTACACCAGGGGTCACCAACACGGGGCCCGCGGGCACCAGGTCGCCCCCAAGGACCACATGAGTCGCCCGCAGGCCTAAAAATAACACAACTCACCAGTGAGCTGCGTCTAACATTTAATATGCGTTTTTAATTAAATTAAATTATGTATTTTTAATACTGTCAAATGTTTATTCTCATTTTGAAGTTGACTCCTGACTATGATTTGTTAACGGTCGGTCGGTGGCTCGTGAAAATGGGACATTTTTCTTATGAAAATGTCCCATTTGAGAAGTCAATGTTGAGAATTACTGTGAGAAACCATGAACGTGATCAGCGTCTTCACACAGATGAGAAACATTTATCATTAATAATAATATATAACTAAACTAAATGTTATTTCAGCAGAGTGGATCTTACTTCCTGTGACTCAGTACCATGAAGAAGCTCTCAGTGTCAATAGGTCGGTGTCCTCTGCTCTAAACTCATCTGTCCAACTCACATGTAAAAGTCTTCTTTATTCTTTAAAAGTCTAAAGAATGAGACAGTGAAGACTCAGCATCTCATTCTGAGGCATCACCAGCTTCCAGGTCTCATCCTCCCAACAACCTTCATGGAAATCCATCGGGCAGCTTTTGCATAAACCTGCAGACGAACGGTGAGAACACGACTTCCTGGATGAAGCTGACGAAGTGAAAGTTTTCTCACCCCCCCCTGGACAGTGGGTTTTCACCGGGAAGGTTCGGTGCTGGAGGATGACCCCGATGGTCCAGTTCAGTCTGTCCCTCTCTCTGCTCAGCTCCTCGGCCCGTCTCCTCATGTCGTCCCGCTCCTGCCGCAGCTGCAGGTTCTGCGCCGTCGCGTGTTGCAGGTCCTGTCCGGACGTGTCCGATGCTGTCGGCGCACAAGAGGACAGATGAAGTGTCCCCGCGCGTCAGGGTCAAAGTGCTGAGAAGAGACAGACTCACTGCTGAAGACGATGATGACCAACCCCAGGACGAGGCAGAGGATCCCGGACACCGCGGCCACCAGCTGCAGAGTGCGCGGAGCTCTGCGCTCTTTGTCCAACAACAAGTTATTACCAGCTTCATCAAAACTCAAACACAAATTCACTTTCACATCAATTCATCACTTCACAAATAACAGTGAGATCAACGACAGATCATAAACCCCCGTCCCTCACAGACTCTGAACTACAACTGTTCCCTTCATCTTTATTTTAGACAAAGAACGAGATTAAAATATCATGTGTGTAGATTTAAAATATAAATAAGACTTTTATTCTTTGGACGTGTTTGTTTGCTTGTTATCTTCTTGTCACTCTTCTAAACCCCTGTTTTCAAACCTGCCATCTAATCAGAGTTAAAACGATCACACATAAATATAATCTTATCTGCAGTAAACAGAAATATGTCATCGACAGACTCAAGGAGAATCAAAAACTTCAGAATTTCAGGTTTTCACTCACGGTCGCTCCTGAAAGTTGCTCTGTCGTTATCCCCTTGTTGCTCCATTGTTTTTAAAAGTTTTAAAAGTTTGAAATAAGTTGTCAGAGACACAAACTGAGTCACTGCAGCTGATTGAATGAGGACTGGAGGCACTGCGTGTGTGTGTGTGTGTGTGTGTGTCCTGACTGACTCTGGATCTTCATGAGCTCCACTTCTTCTTTTTGGTAAAATGTTGTAATTCACACATTTTAAAAACCTGACCAACTGCTTTTATTTTGAAGAGCCCGTGTTTATTTCCAACATGTTAATGCAAAAACTAAATCACGCAACTTCTTTGGTTTCAGACTGTAAACAAAGATGGACGACAGGAAGGCTCCCCAAAAGTGAAGCCAAAAAAAAGCTTCTCCATCGCCCCCTGTTGGCTGCCTGCAGAACGCCTCCTCCCTGTTAGCAGACGGGACATGGAGCGACTAAAGAGTCACACAGGTTTGTGTCGTTTCAGAAAGTTCTCATCACACTTTGTTTTCATTTTAACTTTCTTCATAAGTTTGATTTGTTTTTTTTAATTTGATGATATGAAAACAAGGAGAAACATTATGATTGACCGCTGAGACGTCAAATCAACACAAGAGGGCAGCGTCAGCCTGCAGGATATTTTACATGTGTGTTTTTGTAAATGACCAAATATTAAGTAGATGAGAGAAAGAAAACCTTTTGTTTTTCCATCACAACAACATTAATGAGATGCTGACCATTCACCAACTTCTGGAGACTATTTGTAGCCACGAGGGGGAGCTGTAGAGAGCTGTCATGTGTAAAAAAAAAAGTGTGCTTTAATTTGAAAATCCACGTGTCAGTGAAGTGAAGATAAAAACAGATTTGAAAGACAATAAAATTAAAACAAACACAACTATTCTGTCGTGAAATGATTAAAAAAAAAGATAATTCACCTTATTTTTTTAAACCAATAGACATTTGTTAATTGTGTTAATTGATTAATTGTTCTAATTGATTCGTTTTTTATTATTATTGTAGGATTAAAGTGAAAGAGTAATATAAGAAGCATCGTCTCTCTCACACTCAATGATCCGGGTTAATATTTAACTAGATAATAAAACCAATAATTTCCATGCGTGACTCGTGCGTAACAGAAGCTGGCGACGAATCAGCGCGCAGGATGTGTCCAGGAAACGCTCCGTGGTTTGGTCCGTGCCTGCTTCAGACCAGCGGGGACCAGGAGCCGGCGACGACCGAGCCCCACTCGACCTCCGTGAAGACGAAGGAGTCAGAAAAACATCTTTCATTCGGATCCGCGAGGCCTCGAGGGGAGAAGCAGCGATGGTGTGTGGAGGATACATCTGCACCAAGAACGCACTGTGCGCGCTCAACATACTTTATGTGGTGAGTGGAAGTTCACAGCTGTTGCGTTGCGGGAACAAATGCAGGGAAGAGTCGCTGAGACTCATGAGGAGGAAGAAGTTTGAGATGAAGGTCATTGTGTTTGGAACAGGCCACTTGCTCCTTGCACTGTAAATTATTCTTTACGCAGATAAGAATAAGTACTTAGGCTCATGGTGGATGAAGTATAAGTACCTCTGTCTGCATCAACCAGGAACAACCCACTTCTACTTCCATGTCAAATCTCTTTAACAAACATTAATCCTGGTTTTTTTTTAAGATTAAAAACGGATTTAATTTCTCCTAATGTCCCTGACTTGTGTATATGGAAGCGTCGGAGCTGCTCTACGTGTGCACACGTTGGTCTGTCATCCCTGAATCTGCACATTTCAATTAAACAACGTCCAGTTTCTTCAACGAGGTTAAAATACATCTTGTGTAGATTCAGCCACAAACTAATAAATAGATCTGATTAGAGCTGCAACAATTATCCAATTAATTATCTAGTCTATTGACAGACTCCTTATTCTGAAAATGGAATAATTCTATTGAAGTGAAAATCCAGTGGTTCCAGCTTCTAACAAATATCTGGGAAATCCCCAAAAAACCGAGTATTATTTACTAGAAACAACTCTTTGCTTCTTATATCCACTTTCTAAACCAAATGAAATATCTAATGTTCGCACGATAACTACATTCATCCACCTCACTTTCCTCTTTCCTCATCGATTCATCGCTTCACGATTTACAGTGAAATCAACGATAGATCCGTGACATCGCATCATAAACCACCGTCCCTCTCAGACTCTGAACTCCAACTGTATCGTACATCTTCATGTTTTACTCTGAAGAAGAAGCTGAGGTGTTTATTTGTCCTGATTACAGAGAGAAAAAGATGAATCCTCATTTATTTGCTTTAGTTTTGACGTTTGCTGAGTTTATATATATATTTATATCTCTGTTTTTTTATCTGACGTTGATGTCGTTTCCCTCCACAGCTGGTGAGTCTGCTGCTGATCGGAGGGGCAGCCTGGGGGAAATGGTTCGGCCTGGTGTCGAGCATCGGCGTGGTGGCAGGCGTCATCGGCGTGGGCACCTTCCTGTTCCTGGTTGCCTTCGTGGGGCTGTGCGGCGCCCTGAAGCACCACCAGGTCCTGCTCTTCTTTGTATCCTTTGGCCCGGGGAGTCGTCCCTCGTGTGCTGACGGGCGTTTGTGTGAATGAAAAGCAAACAGCCCGAAGCTCTCGGAGGATTTTCACTCCTCTGTTGAGCTTGTGATCTGAAGGGTTTTGTGCAGCAGCAACACAATGACACTGTTTTCACGTTGGTTTCGTCTGACGTTGACTTCCTGAGCTCGATCCAGTACATGATGATTCTGTTCATCGTGTTCGTCGTGCAGTTTGCGGTGTCCTGCGCTTGTCTGGCCCTGAACACGGACCAACAGGTGTGTTTGTTTAGTTTCCTCGTGTTAATCCCACAGCCATCAGTGTTTCTTTAAAACAACATTATCCAAGTTAGTGGTGGAGATAACCAACATTTAATAATATTGATTTAAACACATTCGTTTTATTTAGTTGTGTTCTATCGATCACTGTTTAAAGGATCAGATGTTAAAAGTTCTCTTGATTCTGCTGCAGGAAAACAAAAAGGAGATCGTGCTTTTATGGTTTTATCACCGAAACCGTGGAACAAACTTTGCCCTCAACATCAGATCAGCAAGAAACAGCCTCTGTTTGAAAAAGCTTTTAAAAACTCACGAGACCATTAATTGTTAAAGTTTATACTTTTGTTTTATCGTTTAAATATTGTTTCTTCTTTCTGGTTCACGTTATTTCTGTCGCTCTTATCTAACACGGTCACAAAGCGATTTACAAAACACACGGAAATAAAACACGAGCGTGAGAAAAAGATGCACGAACAGATTCACGCTCGATGGTCGGAACCCTCCTCACGAAAAGATTCCGAACTTTCCAGGTTTTGTTGGAGGACCGAACGTCTAAATTGTAAATATTTACACTTGGAACTTTCCCAGTTTACGATTCTCAACGTGCAGAGCAGAGTGAGTTTGGTTCAGTGTAGGGCCTCCGGGGTCCCTTCTGCTGGGGGCCCCTCGTGTTGACTCTGGTGATTCAGTTACAGCCTCATTCTGCTGCCGGCCGTTCTTCAGAGTTACCGTGTGACTTTCGTTCACAGAACCGTCTGCTGGAGGTCGGCTGGAACAAATCCGAGGCCACTAGACTGGACGTGGAGAAAACACTCAACTGCTGCGTCTCGAACGGCACCTGTGCTGCTGTGAGTGAATCATCTGGATCCTTCTGTGTCTTGATTCATGTGAACTCTGTGTCTCTGGGAGTTAATGATTTTTTTTTTTTTTAAATATCCCGTAGAAATGCTTTAAGGACCAGCCGCCATCTTGTGACAGCTGCTTAAACATCATCCAGCCCTATGCCGGGGAGGTGCTGCGGTTCGTGGGCGGCGTCGGACTCTTCTTCAGCTTCACAGAGGTCAGTGAAACGCCACGGTGACAAAGCCAACAGCTTGTAAACCTGTGGAATTTGGTGTGAAACAGAATCCTCTTCTTCCCACGATCCAGAAGTGAAGCCGAAATATACCCGAGTTTCGCGCAGTGTGCTAACGATCGGGGAGACTTTGTGGTTGATTTAGTTTTTAGAAAAGACCATTGGTTTATATAAGATGGACGAAGCATCTCCACTATCGAGAAATGAAGCCAAAATATCCTCGATGCGAACACTGGGAGCCATATTTAGTGTTAATAGTTCAACGTGATCGTGTTGCTTTGGCTTCAGTGTTGAGCATCCGTCACGTCGTCCATCTTTACACAGTCTTTGATTGAGATGATGAAGATGTAAGTGTGTCAGGAAACTGATCGTTGTCTGTATTTCCTTGTAGATCTTCGGAGTTTGGCTCGCCCACAGATACAGAAACCTCAAAGATCCGCGGTCGAACCCCGGAGCCTTTCTTTAGCCGCGCACAGATTCAGAAATTGCACTGCGAATAAATGTTTGTCCCCATAACTTACTATACTCACCTGTACATCTGTTTAATTATCGATATTTTCATTTTTACTCTTAATCTTTGCTGCTCACTTAAGTTATGATGCTGAAAATAAATGTTGTGTCTTTAAGTAGGTTAGGGTTCTTATCTGCTGTTACCAAGAGTCGGAGAAAATCTTTATCGCTCAAAAGTCTGTTTGGAGGCCGGAGCTGGAGCTAGCTTCGTTAGCTCAGCTCAGCTTAGAACCGTAATCCGTTGGTGGTGAAAACACGGTCACGCCAGCCGCACTTTGACAATTGATGCGCATCTATTCCTGGTCTTACGGTCTCGAGGTCTTTGGAGCAGAAAAAAAGGCAGAAGACAAATATTGAGAGTTTAATGACACGTAGAGAAAATATCATTTAAAGAAATACTTGAGGTGACAAAGACATTTCAGACCTTCGCTGTCGAGTTTCACAAGATTTTACTTTAGAATTGAGGAAAAATTAAAGGACAATGTTTTCATCATGGTACTTTAACTGAATCCTTGATCCTTGAGGTGACACCGTCCGCCCGGGTTCACGTACACGCATCGATTCTCAACGTGCGGCTGTTGTGACGCAGCACATGACCTGTGACCTGCAGCGTCTTTCTGACTCGTCACAGGAGCTCACAGCGACTGTGTTTACTCAGCACACACACACACACAC